GTGAGTTCTTTCATTAAAGTCATGTACATTTTGTTCTCTAAATTTTTCTTTAATCTCTTGGTAGCAATTGTTCTAAAAGATGACATAAACGCCATATTGCTCTATTTGTTTGCTTTTTTCAAAAATATAAAAATTAATTATTTTTTTTTACTTATCTCTCATGTCATTAATATTTACATTTGCGACAATTTCTTTTTATTAATGTATTTAGGAGTACATGTGCTTTAAAGAATGGTAATTAAAGTTGGATGGAAACTGAACAGTTTTCCTTCATAATGAGCTCAAAATTCGGCATTTTCAGAAATACTCAATTGCCATATTCTCAAAAACTGCTTCAAATTTTTTCTTGTAATTTTTTCTGTCAGATAGTGCTAATTTCACAGTTTAAGATGACATTGAATTCATATTGCTGTATTCTATTATTCTTTCGAAATTTACGCAAATGTAATGTTTTTGAATAATATCTCGTGCCTTTAATAAACATATTTCAAGTTATTTGTAAACAGTGTTGCAGTTGTGACTAGAAGTGCTTGAAAAGACGGCATATGAAGTTTTTCGAAAACTCCATAGTGTTCTGTGAAAGAGGATCGAAATTACAGTAGCATGTTAATGCTATTTTCTGAAAAACTGCCCCAAATTTTTCAAAGAAATTTGTCAATGAGGTTTTATTGTTCTTTAATGTTCTTAAAATATTTCTGTTCTATAATTGGGAAACTGAAAAATTAAGAAAATTTCAAAAAAATGTACTTAGGGCGGTGATAGATGACAGAAGGCAAGAGTATGTGGCAAGTTCGAATAGCTATCCAAGAACAAAGGAACTAATTCGAGAAAGTCTGTGCCATTCCGTTATTTTAACTTGGATCTCTCAGACCCATTCGTTTGTGTAACATTTTTGCACCCACCATCAATCACCAGGTTTATCTTTTTGTAGTAATCGAGTAACCTCCTCTGTCCATCATTCTCTATTAGATCCCTCCACCAATAAACACAAAAGAGGTTTCGTCTCGACGTGTCTCAGTCTCCTGATGGGGAAGTGACTGTTTTTTCAGGTACTTTGAGAACATTCTCAGTGAGTGGGTTTTTAATTACTAAAACATGTTTTAAGGAGACCTACAGAAGTGACCAACAGTTTATCTGATATTTTTTTGTCAACTTTAGACACAACGCAGCTCCAAACCCCTTCAGGGGACGTTGAGCGCTTTACACTTTTGGAGTTATCCTTCATTAATTGCTGCGTGGGACTAATCCTCCATTAATTACATAGTCTGTCACGTCTCATCTTGTATCAGTCACTTGTCAAGAGGACCGCCAGATGGCATCTCCGCGAACAAGTCTCTCTTTAACACACTCCTCAGTCACTAACAAGCATCCAGAATTGGGAAGGAATAAGGATAGGGGTAAGGTTTAGGACGCTTTACAGGATTTGGACTAGTTCCTGTGAAGCATGCAAACTTTTTCTGTTGTAAAAAATTTGACACGAGGTTCTACAGGGTTTCTACGGAATCGAATTGGAACCTCAGTGTCAGAAAAGCAAGCGACATCACCATTGAGCCACAAGAGCAGTTTTGGAAAGTCTAATTAATTGGGAACATTTTTTGCTGATTCTATCTAGAATATTCTTAAAGAAGCAAAAACATGATGGGGAGAGGGGGCACTTTCAGAGGTGAAATACTGTGAATTTGTATTCAGCCTTTCCAGCTTAATGTTGTTAATCCTTATCATAAATTTTAAGATAGTTTATTTAAGGTAAAACTAATTAGCTAATAACACACATTTTTAAAGAAAATACTTCTATCAATATCTTTTTCATATAACTCTGTGCTAGAGGATATATGTACAAGCCAGGTAACTGTATTATGAACTTTTATAATGTAAATTAAATATTTGTACATGAAAGTACCCACCACACGTTATCAATCTTTACTGCCCCACTAAGCCTGTTATCAATCTTTACTCTGGCTTACTCCACAATTGTATATTTCAGAACAAAGGAACAATAATCTTTGTAAACAAACATCACTTGTCAAAATTCTTGTTGTTATTTTGGTATTTAATATATTAATTGTTATTTTTCGTGAAAGAGACGAGGATTATCATAATACCAAAACTTATTTCATTGGTAGTATTTTGAAGCCTGAGTTAGTAAGGTTGGAGAAAGGTTCATACTTGGAAGTCAAATGCAAACTCAACTACTGGCTTACTTTTCATTATTTTTGCAGATGATTAAGCCGTTTCATCATTAATCACCAACAATTGAACATAAAATATGAAAGATACTATTCAAACTAGAAACAAACACAGAAAAGTAAATACTGAAGTAAAACAATAAAACAAATGACAGAAACTGAAAGAACGGAAAACAAAGTAAAATTGTGTGCAAGTATATAAAACATTACTCACTTGGTCCAGAAAACAGATATTCTTATGTAAAATTATTCTGAAGTCTGTTACATTATAAAAAATAACATACTCTCTTCATTATTGGGAGTGTAATGATAAATCACAAAAATGTAAGAATGATCAAAGAATATGCTGAAACAATTACATTCATGTAATTGTACATTTACAAAATGTTCAAATAAGTACCAAACACTTACTTGCCTTTAATGTATGTAGGAGAAATTGAGCTTTTTTGTCAGAAAACACATACAGGCCATTAAACTTTTAATTCTTCAATCCACTGGAAAAATTAACATTAAAAACTTTGATGATTAACATTAATGACTGTTATTAGTATAGAATATTAGTAAAAGTTGTATTTTTTAATGTCTCAGAGGGGGAGGAGCTGAAACCCTATGAGCCACCCCCACCCGCAGGTACACCAATGTATAAAGTCCATTAAAAATTGTATAAGACTTTATAATATTCTCACTATTTTATGTATCTTCTAACATCGATAGTGTTATCTATTGGCACTTTTTTGGGTACATCTTTAAATTGCATAAGTGGAGTTTCTCAGAATCATTACTTGGACTATTGTTATTTATTCAGCATGCCTGTGATTTGAGTGATGAATTTTTTCAAATTACAACTGCTATGTGGAAATTATTGGTGTATTTTCTGGTGAATTATGAGGATCTACAGAATGATCTTGCTGTGTTAGAAACAAGTCAAAAGCTGGCTTCTTCTATTGAGCATTGATGAATGTGTAAAGTCCTTCATCATAAAAATACAGACCTACCATAAATTCTTTGACCCCGGTGAATAAGCTGACAAGTGATGAATGCTCAAATTTTACAGGAGAGCAAAAAACATCTTTTAACTGAAGTAAATTAGGTCAATGATATTCAAACAAAGATGATATTAAAACTAAATCATTTGTGTGTAGGTTTCATGTGAAATCGTTAATCCCTGATTTACAGTATCAGCTGAAAGTTTTGTTGCTTTCTTTTTTGGCTCACCTGTAAAATTTAAGCATTCATGATTTATCACCTTAATCACTGGGGTCAAAGAATTATCTGATATCGCAAGTTAAATGTGACAACACCTAATATGATTTGGAGATTCATAATACAGACAATCTTAAGTGAGAAAGTCAAGTAACTGCTGTTACACGAAGAATAAATTTACAATTGTAAATCAGAGAGAGAAGACATATTATCATTCAGATACTTTAACATAGTAGTTCACATCAGCAGGAAGATACAAAAAAGAATAGCAGTTGGTATCAAAGCATTTTATGATTTATTTTGATGAACTATTTTATGTAGTAAAATATTGACATCATAAAAATGGTGATTGCGACAGTTCCTTAATCCTTCAGTGAGCTTATTCCTTTTCCATTGAGCATTTTAACCCAAGAGAAGAGATAATGACCGCATGCACCTGCACAGTAGCCAACTCAGAACACCATTACTGTGACCTGACTCTGCACGGCATCCCACCACTCACAGGAACATCTTTGGAGTAGGTACACTCTGTGAACAGGGGTGAAACAAGGTGCCATTGGAAGATGGCTTTCCCTGTTGAAAAATTAACATATTTAGTTGTATAGATCTGAGTAAGGAATTCAAGAAACAATTACAAAAAACTTTGCAAAGGTATGTCATCAGCAAATTTCAGTTCAAGTTCAATAGTGATCTGAAATTGGGTAGAAAATCTATTTATAAAATAAATAGTGTAATTGGAGTAAGAAATATCATTAGAGAGAAGTCAAGAAGATGCCCACTCATCAAGAAGATGCATTCACTATGGACTGCTATCTAGAGCAGTTTTTAGATTCTGAGCTATCTAGAAAGGATGCATTATGAAAGATTTACTAAAATATATGTAATGTAGAAACCAATAAGAGTATGTCAATAGTGGAAAACCAATCAGATGAGAAAATCGTGTCATTTAAAATATACAAGCCATGGAGATAAAGCTACAGATGTGCTAACAGTTAACTAAACTTTTTTGACTGGACAAGACTCTTCAAGAAGTGAGAATGCTAGTTGCCAGATATTTTTTGTATGTTGCAGAATGTAGTCCATTATGTAATTTAGCAAATATGTTTCTTAGGAAGTACAAACAAAGAATGAAGTGACAATTTTATGATTAACTACTTTAAATGTATTTATTTTAAATGGCTGATTGTACCCCTAAATGAACAACAAGCTGCTTATTTGTGAGAGATTTTTTTTAAAAAAAGGGTTTGTTTTAAATTGTTATAATTATGCTCAACTGAAACTGAGTAATTTACCAATGTCCAAATATCTAACTTGATTGAGACCATGCTAGAGCTATTTAGGAGTAAATTTCGAGTTATTGGCAAGGTATGAAATTGATTAGACTGAGTTTTAATTTACTTTAGATATTGTTAAAAATAATGAATACTAAAACTAATACCAAAGTAATGTGATAAAGTAGTACTAATTTTTAAATATTTCTCTAATGTGTGTGATTATAATTTTAATCATGAGAGATAGTTGGAGAGCACAAAACTTACATTTGTTTCCGTTGATTTTAAAATTCTTCCGTTTTAGGCAGTGAACTAAAATGTATAATTTTTGCATTCACAGGAGATTCTGTTATGCTTCATGCATGCCAGATGATACCAAAACTAAAGACCAGACAAGGAAAACAAGGTGGTGATCAAGGCCAGTCTCAAGGTGGAGGCAGTGGCAGTGGAGCCAAAAAGAAAAAGGGAAGAAGATAAACAAAAAATGCAAAGACTAATGTGGATATTATTACTTGCATTCAAAGTTTCAGACAGTTTGTTCACAGGCTTATAATGTAATTATTTTTTATGAAAAGTTAAAAATATATTATTTTATCATTATATGAATCTAAAACTTTTTATTTTTCACTTGGTGAATAAGGGAAAAACAATCTGTTTATTTTTTTATGCATGTAAATCCTACGGTTGAACAAAATTATGTAATATATGTAGCTTGAAATGATTAATTCTTTTCTTATGATTTATTATGTTTATTATCATCAGAATCATTGTAATGTCTTTTTGGTTTTACTGAATAATATTATTGTTATAGAATGTAACATGTCAATAAAAGGTTGCCATAGTAATTGTTGTTGTATTTTCTTCCATTCATCTTTTTAATGAAATATCCTAAATTGCTGATATAGTATTTTCAAAGTCCTTGAAATCTTTTAGTTAAAGTTGAAAGTTCTTAATTTGAGTTTATATTGTGATCATGAGTAGACCTATTGACAAGATAACTGTACTAAATCGTGGCAAAAAAGGCTCAAAACATGTTCAGAAATGTAATGTGTCAAACTTCTGCACCACTCCTGAAAATGCAGGTAATGTATATAATGCCAAAAAATGTATTACAGTGGAGTAAGTCAAGTTATTTTCTTTTTCTATTTTATAACAGTTAGAAACCCTGATCCTACAACCTCCATTAAAGAACATGTGGCTACAGAGCTACCACTTGTCTACGATAGTAATCAAATAGAAACTCTTGTGAGTGATGAGAGATCAAAGCATTCCCCATTTCCTTCTTTGACTCCTACCTCTCCTGATTATGAGACACTGAAATGTAGTCATGGGGAGGTGGATTTTGGAGGAGGGAATTGTGGAGAATTTCATAACAGTTTACCTCGTATTGTTGATCTCTGTCTTGAAGACAAAAAGAGGATATTACAATTAATAAATGAACTTGCAAAGTAAGTAAAATCAAAATTTTGAAACACCAAAAAGTACTTATTAAAATGTATTTGGATCGATCATAATCTCATGTGTTGTAGATAGTCCAGTGGCGGCTCTTTCCTATTTGCGCTCTCTCAAGTGCACACCAATTTTAATAAAGTGCATTTTCTCATAAATATATCTAAACGAACGAAGGAAGTCTGAGGTCTTTCTCCTCTCAAAAGACAGTTCTCATCCCTTCCAATAAAACAGTTATTCGCTAGCACGCGAACGCATTGCTGTGCATTGTTGCATTCATAAGAATTGTGTTAATTTAATATTTATTTAGTCAAAAAACAGTAAACACTGTATTTACGTAGGGGGGGAAAAGATCCGTCTCGCACATCTTCTTGAGTTCCAGAATCCCTTCCCATCATTTTAACTATATTTGAAAGATGAGTAAAAGTTAAAGAAATATAAAAATAATATTTAAAAATGCGCGAGATTAGCGACATTTGACAAACTCGACATTTTCGAACCCGAGTTATAGAAAACTTATTTGCAACGATAAACGTACTGCAGATTTGATTTTTCTGCATTGATAACAAAATAATAACCCGCCCTTAACTCTACTCCTACCACTACAAGCAAAAGAAGAGTTCAACAAAACGTGCGCATAGGGAAGTTACATTTACGTCTAGAAGCAAAACAAGGGACCATCTCAACATTTGATCAATGTGTGAGGGAAACTGGACAAAAACCTGATCGAGATGGGGGTCATTAGCCCGGAAGCTGAAGTACATTATTTGTTACAAGCATATTAAGATTATTTTTAAATGTAAATGTAAACTAATTCAATATATAACTGTGTTGTTAAAATAAACATTATTTTTCTTTTTCATGATCAGTGCAGTCTCTAATTGTATAGAAACAGTTATGCAGCTGAAAAGATTTTACTTTTAACTTAAATTTGTGTACCAACTTCACTTGTTTAATGTCATCTGGCAATGCGTTGTAAAGTAACATACATGTATTGTATATGGATTTCTGGTAGTGAGCTGTTGATACTGGTACTTGATGAACGTGATTTCTAGGACGTGTGTTGTAATTATAAATCTTAGGTATTGCATGAAAATATGTTCCCATTGTTAAGTGAGACAGTTCTGGGAAATATTACAGTTTCGTACATAAATAGGCAAGGCAATAGTAAGATTCTAAGCTTAATGCAGGGATCACGCGGGTGGTATTTTTTCGTTATTCGTATTATTTTCTTTTGTAAAATAAAGGTCTACGTGATGAGCTTTCCCAGAATATAATTCCGTATCACAGGTGGGAATGCTCATTTGCAAAATACACGCAACAAGCTGCATGAAGGCTGACAAAATTTGAAAGAATCCTGAATGTGTAACATAATGACCTTAATTTAGTATTTAATTCTGTTATATGTACATTCCATTTGAAGTTTGGCTGAATCGAGAGACCTAGAAATGTTGTTACCTTAACATCCGCTAATTGCATATAGTTCATTTTCATTGGAGCATGCGATTGCTGATTTGAAATGCAAAAATGCATTGAGACTTTGTCCTTCGTTAACTACATTTTTTTATTGCAAAACCATTTGAAACTTTTGAAATCGTACAATTTATTGTTTTCTTTTCGCAAAGAACATTCCTGACATCGGCAAACAGACTCTTCTTCCGTTTTTAATAGACGACGGCATATCGTTTACGTTTAACAGATATATAATCTCTGTTTAACAGAAAGAGGATAAGATCGTACCTTGCGAGACCCAATCAGGGGGGTGTTACTTAATAGGCGGTAAAACGTCCTTATTTGAAAGTTGTGGTGCGAGGGACAAGAGAGTTAAATTACGTTCTGCACACAAAGGATATTATTTACTTATCTTTTCCCATATTCATCAATTCGAATATTCGGTCCAGGAGTAATATATCAGACGCGGCATCATGTTTAAACGGAAAGCCTTATTTTCGTTGGAAGGGGAGAATATTGAATCCTCCCACCAACCAAAACAACGAATGAGAAAAGGCGCCATAATTTTGCCTCGATCCAGAACCCACATAAGCGTCGACGCAAACACACCAATTGAAATGGAGACGGACGTGAACCGGGCTATTTGAAATATTACTTTTATGGTATAGTGTTCAATATGGCGGACATGGTTATGTACTTAAATGAATGTATTTGACATAAAAATGACATGACAGGTAATGTAGAAGTCTAGTAATTCTTAAAGCACTGTAATATGAGGAAGTGAAGTAAATTGTATATGATGAGGAAAGTAAAAAATTAAAAAAGAAATTACATAAATAATATTATATTTGTGAAATTGGTACTATACAAAAAAATAACAATGTGCAACGAAAAAATCTGTTCATTGTGACAAAGGAACAAATATGAGTCACATCATAATTTGTGATACTCTCATTATACTAAATATCACTGCTGCTATACAAAAAAAATAATAATAATTTGTCACAAATAAACATAGCCTTGCAAACAGTCAGTATAAATAATATCCTAACATATAAGCATACAAATACACAAATAAGAGAATTTCTAAAGATTGAACTATAAGACATAAATTAAATTTAAAATTCAATTCTGTAATTAATATACAATAATGTGCGAAAGTAACTTATTTTATACATGTAGTGTAACAGAAGACTTAATTAAATATCAATATAATAATAATTAAAAGAAATTATGCATTCAATTGTGCTAGGCTGGCGGTCAGTCGTTATATGGCCAACTACCAGTTTAAGGGGGTTGAAAAGTTCACAGAAAAATTGCAAAAATATTATTATAGTTTTATTTGACATCGTAGATACGTGTTATATTACATATAATAAAAATACACAATAACATTTTTAAATTAAACTATTCCTAAATACTAATCTCAAATGAGTCAGTTGCATTTTGGTGAAAATTTCAGAAAGTAATATAAATTTTCCTAGTAACATCCAAATGTTTTCCAATGCTATGTATATCAGTAACAAGCAAACATGTAAGCAAATAAATGTGAGAATTTTAATAAATTAACAGCCATTAACATGAGAGGCGTTACTCCTGCAAGAATGATATTTCATTATATAAAACAAAAAAAACATATTCAATTTGTACATTCTTGGTGATAGGAAAGTGGAAGCTCACCAAGTGTTGATTCAATGTATTTTTCTTGATTTAATTACAATTCTACGACAAATTTCTTTCTATCTTCTTGATTAATGAAATATTGGAGTCTCTGCAAGTTTGGACACGTATTCATGTTAGTGATATGCACCAAGAAAAAATCCATAAGAATGTGTTAGAAGAAGAGATATGTCATAAATAAGAATACTATGTTGTTTACACTTACTACATGCTATATTCTGTGTTAGAAATATTGTATATGAAGGCGTTTAATGAAAGTAATTACCTGGACTTTCAAAATCGTTGATCGGATGTGTTCTGTTATATATATTACTCCCATTACTAACATCATTCTCATCTCCATTTTAAATATAATTGTATATAAATGATTTAAAATATTGATTTTTAGGGATACATTGGTAATAATGTTTAAATAACGCATGATAAACTACTACTACTTACTATTAATTTAGTGTTACTCTTTCAAATCTCAATATTTATTTGCACGGCAATACCAAGAGATTACCATAAATGACGGATTGAATACTATGTTATAGTGTATTTTTACCTCATAATATGCATACATAGACCAGCACACGATTTCTTAGAACACATAGCACATTGGACAGAGGTGAGCGAATACCTCCCCAGCGTCACGTCTGTGTCTCCTCTTCCAGCGGAAGGAGAAGAATCTGTAACAATGAGGAGTGTTATTGACTAAAAGAGGAATCGTGCATTCACTACAAAATGTGAAAAATGGTTATATATAGGCTAAAACATAACTTACGCTGTTGGTGTAGGCTTTAAAAATGTTCTGATGTTGCTTCATTGAATTCGAATGTAATATTATGGTTATTTATACGTGGTCTTTCTTGTCAATGTTCAAGGATGCAATCATTGAATATGATAGTGTATCGAATTCCACCCGCTTTTCTGTCGGCAGTCAACCATTAGGGATTTGAAATGTTCATGCACACAACCTTCTGTGGTATCAGTGTTTCAATGGAGGCAATACAGCCAATGTTGGGCTCCAATTGCCATCAACAATTCATACACCTATATTTATATAAATAATGTTAATTAATTACATTAAATTACTAAAATAATAAAACATAAATAAAAGTCATTTAATTCAAGATTGTTGTATTAGAAAATGAACTGTAAATAATAAATGTTTGTTAAACAATTGTTAAACTCAGTAACGGTTATGTTAGCAAAAAAGTTTTTTATAAAAATAGCCACAGGTTTTGTAAATTAAAAAAAAAATAATCCATTCTTCGAATTCAAATGTTAAACACATTCGTACAAGGATCATGCGCATATTATTCATTTCAACTTACCGTTCAGCTTTACTTGAAGAAGAAAAAACCTTGTCTTTTCCGCTTTCCCTTTTGCTATTGTGGCAATTGGAACCCCAACGCCTATATTTCGCAATTTCTTACTAATATATTGCAAAAACCAAATATCAATCATTCGGAAAAGTGTCAGAGAATGCCAAAGCACCAAAGAGAAACCGTCTGTTACTGTCGTGTATTTGGCAGACAAATCACAAAATCAAACGTTCTGTTTTTAAAATTAGTTGCAAACACATGTACAGCCGCTCTTGCCAGAGGTGGCAGACAAATGCGGACTTACCTCCCCTACTCACCGTCTCCACTCACTCTA